CGATATTTAATTAGAACCCGATCGGCATCGCCATTGCACTGTGGATTCATAGCAATACATTAGAAGGAAGCCAGAAAATTAGGAGCACGACGTAACTGCGACAGACGACGATTTTCATTAATCGCCGAGAGCATTAATATTCATTAACATATATAGAGGCATATACATATTAGGTGAAAACTATTAATTACGTAAATCGTAATCCATAATTCGGACGTTTATTCAAGTAAATGTTATATAAAATGGCTATGAGATGCGCGATGACTATGAGCCACATGGAGTCGAGCTTTCCCTGAATAATATATTCTCTCTATTATTAATCCGATGCGGTAATTATTTATATAATACAAAATATTCATGCAATTGAGAATGAGCGTTTCAATAATAACTTAATTATGTAAATGTAACGGTGAATAAATTATATTTATCTTAAGGTAAAAAGAAATGGCGATGGAGTACACATTTTTATAAATATGCAATAGATGAAAAGTCTTCCGAGTCTCGCGTAATAGATTCACGCAAAGGGCTCTCGCTCTCACGGCTGAAAAAAACACATTTCACGGTGAGTGTCATTTCAGCGCACTCTGCCGCGATATAAAAATGTTCCCTGGCGCATTTTGAAGCTGTCCGTCGCAGTACCACGTTTCGAGACTATAAAAATTTAGGCTGTCCTAGGCTGTCCCTTTCGGATAAAAATGCTTTTCATCAAATGATCGCTTTATGCGTTTATTGTTTTGCTTGTTTGTATTGTTATTATCACACTCCCGTTTAATTACTTTTATCTACTTTCCCTCCCCGTTGAAATATCGCTCTCTTTACTCTTTTTTTTTATCCCCGCGTTCTCGCGATAATGAAAATTCGGTTCGCTGAGGGCGATGGAATTGTTTACAGAGTAATAATGACTATACGTGCATCGCACGGGAAAGCTTTTGCCCATCCTATCTTTCGCGACGATACAAAAGGGAGGGGGGACTCAATTCGTTCCGAATAAATTCGCCGAGACGCGTTCAATGGGACAGCCGGCAATATCACGCGGAAAGAACGATTCATATCGAATTTAAGGCCGATTTTCTGGGGAGTCAGCGGATAATCCGACTGCGAGACCGAGACGCCGTGCTCGAGAATGAGAACGGGTGAGATGAATATTCCATGCTAAATTCGCGGCGAAAGAAATCCGACGACGAGAGAAACCGAGAAGAAGGAGACGGCGAGTCTCGTGACCCTTTTCCGCGGGAGATTTACCACTTGTTTCGGAACTTCTTCGTCGCCGAAAGAAAGAATTTAGCTCTCGTTTAAGAACTTCGGTCCCCTCGGTACCTCGTTTAGTATCCGCGATCGCGCGGCATGTCGACACGCTCGTCTAACAAATTCGCGATATCGATATTTATATGCAGGAGAATGATATATTTCTTCTGCTATTACAAACGTCTATTAGTATTTAATGCTTGACAAACAATTTAAGCATTATTATCACGTCATTTAATCATTATTATTACGAATAAATCATTATATTCATAAAATCTAGTTTTTATTTTAAAAATACTAAGATTTTTGATAAAATGAATCATATCAGAATATCAGTTACGAAGCAATAATCCATACAATATTTGCTTTGAAATAATATTTAGCAGAAACATTAGATTGTTTAGATGACTTACTTTTTTTACTTAATTTTGTGTGTGTGTGTGTGTGTGTGTGTGTGTGTGTGTGTGTGTGTGTGTGTGTGTGTGTGTGTGTGTGTGTGTAAACAATTCTAATTGATATCAATACAAATGTATATATATAAATTTTTATTGATATCAATTAGAATTGTTTACTGTATCCGTTTGTACAAACAATTTTTCCGGGATACGGATTAGGAAGTTTATGCTATTCGTTTTATTCAAGACACAATTTGGGGGTAAAAAGCAGACAGGTATGCAACAGCGGTGCAACGCTGCGCTTGTGCATCAGCCTACTTCCGCTCGAGTAAATACAACCTTAATTAACATGGCGTCAGCTCACACTTCCCTTCACAACCCTTCTCCACGGACTTACGACACAATAAACAGACGTAATTCACGCAATTGTCCTTCGAACGAGCAGACATCACGGACGAAGATGGTGCATTCCTTCCTTGCAGACCGCGTCGCAAATTAATTAAGGCCGCATTTCAGTCGTTCCCAATGTATTTGCACAGGAGTTAATATTCCTGCAAATGTCCTCCGTCTCTCCGCTCAAAGAGTTCTGGTCCTTGTAAAATGGTCCTGTGTATTTTCCGAGATGCTTTTGAGAAAGAGAACGAGAGAAGATATTAACATACGGCGAGCAAATTTACAAAATACGCGTCATAACTATAAACGACTAAAACTGTAAATATTATATTTATATTAATATTAATATTAGTATATATATAACGTTTGCATATATATATGTGTGTGTGTGTGTGTGTGTGTGTGTGTGTGTGTGTATGTGTGTGTATGTGTATGTGTGTACGTGTATGTAAACGTAAAATGATTCAATTTGTTGCATTTCGTTTAAAAATATTATGATTTAACTCAAACGAAAAATGAGAGGATGAGCGGAAATTCACGTCAATGATTTTACAGCACCTCTTTGCATTTCATTTTTTGAGAGCTCGCTAAAGATGTCGAATGTATATGCGAGTCGCGTCATGCGCGGACGTAAAATGTGATTTCAAGAATCTGCCAGTAAATAACATTTTTAGAGCCGAGGCTCGAGGGTGCGCCTCCACCTCTTTCTCCACTTATTCATGAGTGTTTGACTTATTCAAGAAGCGAGGGTCCGAGAAGACCTGAATGCGAGAAGCCATGGACATACATCGACCACCGATGCGAGGGTAATATGAATCCAAAGGCTAAACTTACCGTGCATGTCAGATTTTCTCACGAAGCTGTACGCATACGAAGGGGTGAATATAAGCTTCGCACGGGTATAAGGCGAATCGAATATTTACCAGGTAACGATTAATGCGCATCCTCATCTTTAATCTTTCGATTTATTCGAATCAATGTAGATACACGATACGATCGGCGCGTCATCATTCATATCTGTCGATTCGCGGGAATGTTCGACTTTTCCGAGAATCCGAGATCTTTCGCAAGTTTCGTAGTGGAATATCTTGTTCCTCAGTTTGAACAAAACTTATTTTTCCTCTATATCACGGGAAAAGTATATATGGGAAAAGTATTTTTCTTTTTTTTTTTTTTTTTTTTATACCGTATGCGGCGACGTTCAGAAAAAATTTTGTTTCGAAACTCCCTTAACCGCTAAATCGATTGTTTCGTGGGAACGAAGATTTCTCTTGGCGATCGCAAATCTGGGTCGAAATTAAATTACCGAGTTGAGGCGGACCAACCGCCGAGCGTTGAGAAAGCTCGCGGCCGGTTTCGTTTTGTACCGTAAATACCGTCCGACCTTTCCCGATAGTTTCAGCGAATCCGGTTGATTTCTTTTTTGCTACGCGACGCTCACACGTCGCGTCGTGTCCACGTGCTGACTGAGTGAGTTTCGAAAAAACCCGCCGATGGAAACTTTTCCAACGTAACCCTCTTTAGCCCCGAAAACGATGGCGGCAAACGATCTTCCGTCAACGTTTTTCTGTCACGTCGTTTTTACCGTGACTCGCCGTCGACCTAATGCGGATCGACGACGAAGAGGCGGGATGCGAGGCGAGGGGGGATGAAAGGGGATGAGTTGGCGGGGGGGGGGAGGGGGGAGCGCAGAAAAGTTTAGTGAATTCCGCGCTGCTGCAGCTAATCTTCCAAACTACTTCGAGTTTAATTTCCCTTATCGCGACTTTCAGCGCCTTACGATCGGCGGCGAAGTTCTTTTTGTTTTGTCGCGGCGAGAGCAAGCTTGATTATCCATTACTGCGTGATTTATTAGCGCGGACGTTAGCCGGATTTATCCTTTAGCGGCAATAAATAGCGAAAGATTTTCGGCGGGGATTCCGACGTTTAAATCCTAATATCAATTTCGGCGCTCGTTCGAGCGCGCATGCCAGCGCGACGAAATAGCTCTGGCAATATCTGACGGGTTTCAATGGTTTCTTTATTTCATCGTTAGCAACGATTATTCTCGCTCTGCACTCGCCATTGCAGCATTCGGATATTTATGGCTACGAACGTAGATAGAGATTTAGAGAAAACATTTCCAAATTAATATTTTCATTATTAGTATTTCGGAATGTTATTTCGCATATCTGTCGGAGCAGTTAATGAAAATACTAGATTTGTGGCTGCGGATATCTATTATTATGATCGTATACAAAATACAAATTATTTAAAATAATTAAAATAATTAATTAATTCCAGATATGTAAAAGAGGGAGTTTCAATAGTATCATACATTCATACATATCATAAATTCATTGATTCGATTCCGTTATCTCAACATTTTAAATATTTTTATTTCTGATTGTTTTAAAATGTATAATGAAACATGGGAGGTTTCGCGGAGATAACGATAATGTTTCCTCGCGATCGGCCGCGAGCCGATGGACACGACAGCGTTAAATGTTTGACATGGGACATTAAATAAACGGTACGCGCGGGTAATATAAAATCAACAGAAAGTGACGTGGTCGACAGAATCTTGATGCAATTTCTAAAATATGAGGATGCTTCCCATTTGATCGACGTTAATTAACAAATACTTCGAACAACATTGTTTTAATCCTTATCCGAGAAAATACTTTATTTGCTTACATAATTATCAATCATTTATAACTTTCCAATATTCTGATTATTATACGAGCGGATTTATCGTGTGCATTATTGTTATTTAAAAGCTAACCGGACCAAAAGTCAAATCAATTGAGGAAAATAAATATTATCAGTATCAAGACGTATTATCTCATTTACATTAATAAAACACGAAAATTAACGTCAAGTATCGACTCGATAAGAATAATAAAGCATCCTCTTTATTACATAATCAATCACGATTAAGCTGCCAGCAAACAAAAATTATTAATGAATTTTTATGAAGTTCTTTTATTAATGAAAATTACGAAAATAATTAATATTATACGTTCTAATTCAAACGTGCGCGTCACATTATATCGCTCTTCGCACGTTTTCTATACGAATACGAGAGCTCTCGCGGCTTAGGGCGATCAACAATGTCGCCCGGGCTGATGTGCCCCGGTTGACGATACAGGAACGACACGACGACGACCTCTCTTTCTCCAGTCCAGACCATTACCTTCGTTTACCCGCATCTTATCGCCGTTTCTGCGAGAGGTGGAAGATACCTTTAACCATCCACTCTTATATATATTCTGTCATCGGCTCGCTCTCGCTTTGAGACATACCGACATCCACGATGTAACTTAAAGCCAACCGAGTCTCCTCCCTTCCCCCTTCCCCCTCTATCAAAAAGATTAGAGCCGAGTCGTCGACTGGTCTTTTGCTCGGATTAACAGAATCTCGCCGACTCACTCGGCTGTTCGAGTTCACCCCTTGTGCCCTTGTTTCGCAATTGCAGTTGACGCTCCCTCATCGTGTCTCAAGGTATCGCTCGTAAACAAAGCCAGAATAAATTGACATTTCTCCGCCTCTCTCGTTCTTACGGTTTCCCCCTCGCATCACCGACACCGGTCGAATCCTCGCTTCGCAAGCCCTTTTCGCGATGAATTCATCAAATAATCCAACGAAATCTGACGGTAGAATGTCGAGGTAACTCAAAGTTTCCGTCGTTCTGTTCCGTTTCTGTTCCGACATTGTGCGTTGACTAGAAATAGTTTGATGAAAATTATAGGAAAGTGAAAGAAGAAGAAAGAGGAAAGAGAGAAAGGATGCAGTCATAGATTTCTCGAGAAAATAGCAAATAGTTTCGATAAAGATGTATCAAGAATGTAATATTTATTTATGCTTTTAGATTGAATAAAGTATCCTTCTAACATTGCGAGAAAAATATGGAAATGTAAATACACGGGTTATGTACAATATACCTTTAAAAGGGTCCAGCGGAACCTCGAGTGCACGTTTTCTGCATACCAAAGGAACGAGGATCTTTCATATGAACACGGATCTGCAAATGCTTTCTTTCGCTGTTATTTTGGAATACCGTACATACATCAGTTACCAGGCTGGAAAATTTTTGTGGAGTTATTTTTTATTCTAAATTCTTATTTATTACATCCGAAATATTTGTAACATATCTACGTACGTTGCTTTTAGAAAAAATAAATACTTTAAACATAAAAGGAATTATGGGAAATACATGGGATAATACATACGTTTAATAAGAAAAACATCGATGAGGACGAGTGAATTAATAAATACATATTATGAAAATATCCTTTTACCTTTGTAATACGATAGCGGTGAGCAAACTTAGCCATTGTAAATTTTATAAAGGCTCTTGGAGAAGCAAGCGGTATTACAATAGTTATAATTACGACTATGAGCGCCGAAGTAGTAGTAATGTAGTAATTAAGCACAGTGCAGCATTCATTCGTTAAGAATTCTTTTCTTCCTCTCGGAACGAATCGCGTACCTCACTTATGAGCGGCGTGCGTTTTCTTTCGACGAGAGCCTTGATATAAAAAGAAGGAAGAAGAGAAATGTCGATGCAGCCCCTTTGTTGCCTTTCCGCCTTTTTTCGGATGTCTTTTACTAGATGCAGTCTACTCTGGCGCGGTTATTTAAAAGGGAAAGATAGTGAGGTGCAATGAAGGATAACGCAACGGCGCAGTTAAAACTTGTCTCATAATTACTCTCATTTAGCACCATTCGCCCCCGCACTCCCCTCTTTCTTCTTCTTGTTTGACTCTGTATCACCCTTTTCTTCGTGTTCGCTCCGCTTCCTGCGTCGGCATGGTGAGCACAGCGTGAGGTAACTCGTTCGTGCTCTACTTCAGGCATTAAATCATGCTACTTCATAATATCCTGAAACTCATGATATCTTATAAGCGTAAGTTACGTCAATTAATAGCGTCGCCGTGCAATATACCTTACTTCTCTGCATACTCGATTCAACATACTCACTCCGGTATATATTGGATATAACCGAAAGTATAACTGACTGTAAAAAGTCTACATAAAGCAAGTAGAAATTTAATAAGCAAAAGAAAGAACGATAATTCTAGCCATTCAGCAGTTGACATTTTTTAACATTTTTAACATAAAACTGTGGAAAAGTTTGTTCTAATGAATTTGTTATTTCCGTTATCCATGTTTCCACGTTTATTTTTTAATGTAGAACGATGACTCGAGTATTGATCTTTAATTACGGTATTCTATGAAATTTGCCTTTACGTTACATTCGCTACAGTTTCGTGGAATGTTTGCACATAAATTCTTGATTACGTTTTGCCGGTGATCGGCACGATCGTCGGACAGATTTCAAGTTACTGCGGCGTAACGCTTTCATTGCCGCGCGGAATCACCGGATGGTACCGGACATTCCGCGGACACAATTCGAAATCGTTTAAAAAGTAAGGGGAGGGGGGGGAGAGAGAGAGAGAGAGGAGAAAGAGAGAGACAGAGGAAACAAATTTTCAACGTTGTTTCGTCGGCCGCCAAGTGCTTGCGAACTGAGCGTTTACGCTGGCACGGTTTTCCATGGCACGTTTCCATTATTTGAATACGTAGAAGTCCAGTTTGCGGACGTAGTTTCGCGGCGCGCGAGCCACTATCACGATCGGCCGATTATTTTTACGATAGCAAGCAGAACGGCGAAAAGCGCGAATTTTTCCAGCTACTGGTAGGAAAAGAGAGCCTCTCGAAACTCGGTTAGTATCGATCGAAATTCGCTTTATATGCTTTGCCTCCTACCATTGCCGACTTGCGCTCCTGCCGAGCCACCCTTCCTCTCCTTCCCCCCCCCCCTCCCGCCGCGCGAGCCACCCCCGTGACCGCCATCCGCGGTATCTCCGTCATATTTCCATCTTTGTTTACATACGGCGTGTGCACACACCGAGCATAGTGGCAGTGCCCATTGTTTGACTGAATGTAAAACAGTCCACGCACCACAGTCAAGGATTCAATTTTCAATTGATGCGATTTTAATGGTGTGTTTACTTTGAAATCGGGCGGCTCACCGATAGGATCGGCCTGTATCAACCCGAAGTAAAGTACGATAGGTGTGTGTTTTTTTCGATATTCCCGGTGAAATTAATGGATTTTGCTCGAGAGAGTGCTTTTTCGAGAAAGCAAGACCCGAAAAGCGAGAGAACTCTTTTATGCACGACTTCCGTGTAAAAAAGGAACAAGAATTTGCAAACTATCACAACTTTTCGGACGTACACATGATGGAATCAAACCGGAGTCTATGAAAATATGATGCTATTGAATACATACGATTTCTCTGATGTTTATAAATTTATATAAAAATATAAACTTTATGTACGTGCGTTGAGAACTCAACGATATCTCTCTCTCTGTCTCTCTGTCCTCTCTGTCTCTCTCTCTCTC